CTTTGGTGGCTCAAGACACTTTGCCAGTGCAGAGAAAGGCGCATCCGAACTTCAGGGCTACTTTGGTGTCTCAGTTCTGTGAGCTTGTGCACGAATTACTTTAGGGCAGTTTGGTGCGTATTCTGTACTCGTGTACTTTCGCAATGTCACAATGTCATAAACAGACTCTGTACGTCTTTGACTCTGTGTGTATGTGTGTTTGCGTGTTTGTGTGTCAACGTGTGTTGCTCGATTGTTTGCTGCCTTCGCTGTTTGCGTATCTGTATGTATGCTTGCCTGTCCATGTGGATGAAGGCATGCATGTATGCATGTGTGCGTGTGCATGTCTGGGCGTGCTGCGTGTACGCACATACATCTGTCTGTCTGTCTGTCTGTCTGTCTGTCTGTCTGTCTGTCTCTGTCTGTCTAGGCATGTGTGTATGCATGTATGTGTATGTGTATGCATATATATAGAGAGAGAGAGAGAGGGTGATTTTTTATTTATTTACCTGGCATGTATGTGTACCTCTAGTTGATTTAGACTCGATGATCGGGCAGCTTCACCTGAAGCCAAACTCTCCACTAGCGGCCTAGCGCCAAGGACATGCACCGGCTCAAAGTCGAGAAGAAGGAGTTCCACGAGCACATGGCTAGTGCCGGATATGAAGGCTTGAAAAGCTGCGTTGCTCTTGGGGTAACGGTCCTTTTCGGAGTCTCTGAAGCCTTGCACTCTGTTGCGAGCCGAGAGTTCGGTTTGGATTTGGTGTCATCTCTGCAGGTGCACAACTCCTGTGTCCAGGCCAAGAAAGGGCAGGCATAGTGCCCTGCATGTATTAGCCATAAGCTGCCCAACCCGGTGCTCGAAAATCCTCCTTCAAATCCTGAAGAGTGTGCATCATCCCAACTCCTTGTTCCAGTGATTTCGGGCTTTGAACCACGGCTTAGGGCATCTTCTGGAAGAAGGAATTCTCCACTCCAGCGTTACGGCGGCAAATTGCAGACGGCGTGCTGGAAAGTGAGGCTTGGCGAAAAGTCTAGAAGAAGAAGGCGAACACTAATTCCCACACTTTGGGCTCTATCCCTGCCACCTGCGTTGCGCAGGATTTTCACCATCAGACGTCATGTTTCCAACTTTGCAAGACAAAGCTATCCTCCCTGCTATGTGGTGCTGCCAGCCCGAGAACTGTAGCTTGACACTGGTGTAAGAGACTCGATGATGACCTGCAATCACTCCAGCAGAACGGATAGCCGTAAACCCCATGACCATTCTGAGGGTGTGGTGCCAAGAGGGGCAGGGAGGCATCACACAGAGAGGTCATTTCTTGGGCTGTGAACCGCGTGCGATGTACTCTTGGGTCGCCGGACCGCTCAACTACTGCCCGGGCCCTCGGGTTCTGTTATAATAACAACAAGTATATATTAATAACATTAATAGTATTAATCATAATCGTAATATGAACAAGAAAGGGGCCTCCTAAGCTCTCGAAGCCTTCGCTGTTGTAGCCTGGCCTTCTCAAGGAGCTCTGGAAGGCATCTCTGGCCGAGCTTGCTGACGACCAGTACGCCAGCACCTACGGACCAGCCGGAACCAGAGTCGAGGTCAAGGAGCGATGGGTGGACTGGGGGTCTTATTGCCTGGCTTGCGGGTCTCGATAGTGCTTTCGGTGTATAGGGGGTCTGCGATCTGGTCAAGGGGTGGTGTTGTGGGCTTTGCATCTGAGCTTGGCACCTTGCGGCGCAAGGAAGACTTGAACTGTCGTTAGTGGTACCCGTCCAGTGCCTGACTCCAAGCCCTAGTCGAGGCATGCGCATCTTGCAACAGAGAACGGAACGGCTTTCGAATCGAGCCGTGCTCAAAGCCTAACAAGAAGCAAGCTGGGGACGACAAAGAGGGACTCAAGCTTTCGGTCCTTTTCGTGTGTTTTGTGTAAGCTTCCCCGCGAGCAGGAGTGTCGAGACGGCATGATGCAGGTGACAATCTTGCACAGCGACAAGGATGCTTCGATTCCCCAACACCATCTGAAGGCACCTGGGACCCGGTTCTTGTCAGTGGCACTTGAGTTTGCTAATGAGCCAGGAACGGCGAGTCAGACTGCCTAAAAGTGTGAGATTCGCCAAGGGGTTCACTTGGGCCGTCTCAACTGCCCCAACCACGGCAAGATGCACAGAACATTGCTAGCACTCCACGAACTTCACAAGAAGGAACACGACATTCACTTGGCATGCTTGCAGTTAAGAAATTGGGCTTCGACGCTGCCAATGCGCATTTGCATAAAGCTTTAAACCCCAAACCGTAAAAACCCTGTATTGTTGAAGAGTTAAATACCGTGAAGTCAGAGGAGATAAACCAGAAGGAATTGCAGGACAAGCTGATTGGCAACCTGGACCTGCAGGAGAGTTGATTCGTGTTCGGGGATTTAGGGCCTTTAGGGTTCAAGGGTTTAGGTGTTCAGAGATTTTTTGGTCGCATCCCACGCCTTGCAGGAGAGGGGAGAGGACGGAGAGCTCATGAAGACCATGGACCGCAGAAGCTTGGGCTTCGCGCGGCTGGAGATCCGAGGGACCGGGCAGCCCAAAGAAGGAGTCTTACGTTTCCAAGAGTATGAAAGGCTTCTGGTTCGAGGAGTTTTTTCTCTATTCAGTGCCCGTCCGTGATCTTCTGTCTCGGAATTCCGTTTCCAGGCAGCCCGTGCTCTTCTGCACGACTCATCTGATGACCGCCAGTCGAGATCTTCACGGCCGAGTCCGAACTGCCGCTCTGTCGATTTGATTTGGAAGGAAGCAGTTCTTCATTCCCGTTTTTCCTGCCGATCCTGTTGCTGATGAAGGTGTGTTAACGCTAGGCCGCCCGGTTCGGCTCGCGGGATTCCAGCAGCCTAGCACCTGCGTTAGTTCTTTTGGCGCGAGCGACTGCGAACTTTGCACACAAGACTGGGCTGCACCGGACCGGGAAGATGATAAGTTTTGCTGATGGCCAGCAGCCACAGCCACAATCCGCTGCTGCAAACTGAACCGAGCAAGGGGCAGAACGGGGGTTGAAAAGGGTGGAGAGGGGTGAGGGGGGGAGCTGCACCAGGCCTTACGCTGGAGAAGGGGGAGAAGAGGGGGGAGGGAGTGGGGTTAGGCCACCGAATTGCTGCAAAGAGATCACAGGAGGTGGGGTGGGGAAGGGGGCGGGAGGGAGTACACAAAAGACTGGTGTTACGGGCTGCAGAGAGGACTAGGTGGAGAGCACCTAGTTTAACCCCAAGACGCCTTGAGCCTGCGGCCTTCGCGGATTTCACACTACAAATTGGAGACATCGGGTTGCGTGTGTGGCCACACTTTACTACGGGCGATTGCTCGTTCCCTTTCACTAGGGCAAACTGTCCTTGGAAAGAATAAGATTCATTCCTGGGTTCTTCGCCCGAAGTTTCAAAAACTTGCGAAAGCATAGCGAAAGTGCTGCAGCAGGAAGACGGACAGCGGTTCGGGATTTCTAAACAAATCATGGACGTGGAAGTGCTATGGCAGATTTGGCTGCTTGATCGCCTCACAACGAGACATGACCAAATACTTCTTCAAAGATCATCCACACATAGTCGATGCGGATATTGACATGCCGAGGTTCACATAGAGAGTGAGGCCGGACGAGTCTATGCTGACACGAAGTATGGCAGCTGTCATTAGAAGCATTTTAAGTCGCCCCAGCAAAAGCTGACATCGCCGGGCCGCAGCTACAACAAGGCCCCTAACGGCCCCCCGCCGCAGTCAGAGGACACAATCATCGGCATCAGTATCGACACAAGCATTATCATCGTCATTCGAGTCATTCGTCACGAGCCAACTTGCTGAAATTCCCAGATCTCCAAGAGCTTCCGCTTGGTTTTAAGGACGAGCTGTGCACCATCAACAGCTTGATGAGCAGCTCGGCCCTGCATCGGTGGCTCTTGGTTGGGCAGCATTCCTGCAGTAACTTATGATTCTGCCAGCATAAGCCCCAAACAGTCAAAGAGCACCTGACACCCCGAGTCCCGCATACCCAGGGCCCATTCAAGGAGTATCCTTTTACTCCCATGTTCACCCGGTGAGTCCGAAATGATCCGAAATGCGCACCATGCTGGGGCGGGAGCGCGATTAATCGGAAGACACACGGCACTGTGGCGGAAGCACTCTTTCAGGAGGCAGAAACGCCCGGGACTGTTGCAGGAACGATTTTTGAGATGCAACACGGGTCGCGTCCAAAATGCAGCACTCTGGCGGGAGCACGATCGCCAAGTTTGGAAATTCCAAAGCACCTTAACTCTGGAATATCACACGAAGATTCCGTGGTACTCCAAACTCCAAAGCAACCCTTAACTCCATGCGAGGCATTTCTTGGGGGACACCGAAGCAACAGTGCTCCCTATGGGGGTTGTTGGGTGGAACCACAAAGTTGCCAGAGAAAAAGAGAGTAATCTTGCTACTTTGCAGCATGTTCGCTTGTGTGCTGCGTGGCTTGTCTCCGCACATCTTTCTGCGTGGCTTGTCACCGCACATCTTTCACCCCGAACATGACTGGCTGAGGCAGGGCGGCATGCACTGAGAGACATTTTAACAAATCAAGACTAGCAGCATCAATCGGCAGCAACAAAACTGCCCTCAGTAATTAGTCTATGTTCCGACATGCTTACGTTGGTTGTTGATGGTTGAGGGTTTGAGTTCGCAGGCACATTTGCAGGGCAATTGAATCGGTTGGTGCAAGCACGCGCCGCCCTTCGCATTGCAATCATGAGCTCCAAAGTGCACATCAGACTACTCTGGGTGTGATTGTGGCACACATGCCCAGGTGATTTGGTGAATCCCCACGAAGCTGTGATCTTTTGCGGGGACTTCAACATCAATAGTCGTATGCAAGCTCACGACTTCATTTGGAAGAAGAAGTTCCTGAAGGGCGCCACTCGGCCGAGCTGGAGATGCCGGTAGCAGCCGCTCACTCCCGAAGAAGTCCTTGTCGAGACCGTCTTGCCTTCCCCCTCCTCCCGGACACCGAGAGACAGCTGACAGGAGAAGGATGTCAAGAAGGATCGCTTCGTGAAGGCAGCTCTGAGGTAGTTTGCAACCCTCGTACATTACGACTGCAACATGTTCTGATATCAGTGTTGGTTCGTCGCGCTGCAACACCGAACAGTGGAGGGGCAATCAGGTCTTGCAGGACTTCGACTCCATCAGCCAGCAGAAGTACAAGCCACTTCGCAGATCCACAGAGAGAAGCCGAGAGAAGCCTTTGTCAGAATTTGTTTACACCTTGCCTTGACTCACTGGCGGGATGCTTCCAGCGGAGGATTCGCAGCAAGACTATAGGAGAAGTGCAGGCTGCTGGCTCTGTCCCTGCCATTCAGAGTGTTCAAGACCTGGGAGTGTGGTCACCAGTGTAGTCCATAGGCAGGTTAAGCACTTTCCGGCAACAGTTGTTCACATGGCTCTGTTCGGAGAGTGCAGCAGTGCAGCGGCATTGCACAGGAGATTGACGCAAACGGCGACGCATTGATCAAGTTCGAGTGCAATACTGATGACCCGGCCCGCCTGGCACCTCGACCGGCACAAGAACCGTCTTCAGTCGCAGCGTCACGGAATGGCTTCCAGAAACGTCGAAGGCAAGGATGTTGTTCACCGTGCCTCGCAGGAATGGGTATCCCAGAAGGACTTCAAACACATGCGATCATTGGCCGGAGACTTACGTTCTGCAGACTCTTTTTGGAAAGTCGCAGCGTGACCGACTGAAGGACCACACAGGCTACGAGAAGGACCGTGAGGAGCTAGCTCCTTGATCCCTCGCTGTTAGCTTGAATGGACAAACGGCACGCAACACCCTGGGACATTCGAGATGAGATGTGCAACGGAAGGAGCGCCGCTTCGTCTGGGAGCGATCAGACGGGCGCGAGCTCAAAATGAGGGATGCCTATGACGATGTTTACGGCTCTAATGACGCCTCCTCAACGATCACAGGCCACAAATGCCTCTGAAGGTGCTTGTAACTTGGTGGAGTCAGAGCTTCCTTTTCTAAAGGTATGCGTGAGGAGACGATCGACTACGTATTCTTTGACGAGGACTCGGATGGGACTGAAAGCCACGGTCACAACTCCGAAGTGCGGAAAAGTGAGCCTCCAAGGCCATACAGAGGTTTCCGCATTTTGAGCAATCCTTTCGGACCGCGGACCGTCCGCATGTGGCAAGGAGATGCTGTGCCTCAAGAGGAAGAGTGCCCTGAAGTGCCCGGGTGTCATGCCGAACGACCAGGCGGCGGACAAATGCTTGTCAGAGTGTGGGGGGGAAGGTTGCTGAGGATTTCGCCAGACGAGGGGCCTCCGTAAGCCCTGCAAACGATCTGCCAGGAGCCATCAGATCACATTCCACTCGTGGTGACTTTCGACCTGCCGGACGTTGAGGACACTCTGGGAGAGGAAGAAAGTTCGTGTGATAGGATTTCGATGTGTTTAGATACGCTGTCCTCTCACTGAACTGCTGGGTCAGCGGCTCATGTGCCAGTTATCCAATGTCTCGTTGTATGCATGCTGATGGAGCCATGATGTTCGCTGGGCCAGCTGTGCCGGAAGAATTGTTGTGGATCGCGTGCAAGAGCCACCTCCGATTCTTGTTACCCCAGACACTTTCCCGCTGAAAGCCGATCTGCTGATCTGAGATGGTGCTTGCACCGATGCTGCTACATCCTTCTACTTCTCGATCTCTCCCGTGTTGGGTAGTAGCAGAGTAGCAGAGTACCTCCCCTCTAGTCGAGCCCGGAGGTCCAGCTGAAAGAAGGCCTCCGCCGACTGGAGCACCATCTCTTCAACCTCCTCAAAGAAGGCTCGGGTTTGCGGCTTTTAACGGGACGCTGTGTTCACCGTTGAGAGCCTCTGAGGCAAAGCTGGAGAGAAGCTGGCGATAGATGTACTTCTCCCGCTGATGCAGGAGCAGATTTTTTCCTTGCAGATTGCGTTTTCTGCAGAAAGTTGCCCAGGAGGCGGTGGAAGCTGCCAGGAAGCAGAGCCTACGCACCTGGCTCCTCACCGGCAGCGGCGACCGACCCGAGGCCCGGATCGGAGAACGACCATCTCCTAGCCTGACAGTATCTAGCCGAATAAGCCTTCGCAAGCTCTTTAAAGAAAATCGGGTCCACTGAGGAGGAACCAGGGGAGCCATCGCCCAGGAGTCCTTGGAGTCCCTGCATTTCTGTGCTCTTCGTCCGAGGGGTCTACTTCTCTTGAGCCTACCGTGTCCGCACTGCTCTGAAATTATGCTTTGCTGGCTGTTCCTACTTTCAAGCAGGAGAGCCACATTGATGCGGGCTCACTCCCTGAATCGGTTCAAAGTGCCAAAGAGGCCTGATAAACGAGGTCAAGGCGAACCTTGGTTGCAGCCAGACTTTTCCGTCAATACCGCGAGGCCTCAGGTTTGCTTCTGTTGTTACATGGTCAGTTCAGCCCACGAGGGCTGTTGATGATAAGCCAGCCGTCCGAACACAAGTCCTGAAACATCATGGAAGGGCATGTGTACATGCTGATGAGCTTGCATGAGCAGACTGCAGGCGCTGTTCCGCCAGCCCAGCATCGTCGTTGGCAAGGACTTCGAAGTGCCGAAAAGCTTCGACTGGCAGTTCCTCGGCATGAAGTGCTCACTGTATGCCGCGTCGTTTCGAGTTCGAGTCGAGGGAGGCAGGGAGGGAGGGGGGGGGGGCCATCAGACCCCAACGACATCGTGCACCGCAGTGAGGACCCAAACCATGAAGGGGAAACAACTGGCCCTGGTGAGAAAAGCTTGGCGTGACGCCGGAATGGCCGAGTATGGAGACAGCCGCGCTTGCCAGACAAGCACCGTCCAGCGCACCCCAGCAGGTGAATTGCCCGACACCTACGGATGGAATGGCTTCAAACCCACGGGTCTACAGGGGCCGGGTACAGGAAACGTGAAAATACAACAGCCAGCTACAGCATCGGGCCGCCCTAGAGCACCGCAGACGCCGTGATGACCATGCTGACCGTAGTCGGGGAGAGGAAGTGGTGCGAGGAAGTGTTGCTTCATTTGAGCAGTCAATACATGGCGCTGTGAAATTCGAAACATTCATGCATGAATGCCGAACAGTGTGTGCAAGGGAAGGGGGATCTGATTCTTTTGATGCTCCGGGTTGGTTTGTTGATCGTTGTTGAAGACATGACCTTTGACGCATTGCTCCTGCCCTTGACAGTCGGGTGCTACAACCGCAACAATAGTAGTTTATGCTCCCACGTCAGGGGGAGCCTGCAAACCGAGCAGCCTATACTAGTAACATCTTGTTCGCCCTCGATCCTTCTTTTTCAGGGTGAGATCGGAAACAGTCGTTGAGGGGGAGATCGACTGATTTGTAACCTGCCGACAAAGGCAGCCGATGCTTCTCGAGGGTTACTGATCCATCCCACTCAAACTTTGCTTCGAGTCCTTCGGGGGAAGCTCAATTCGACCGACATGAGCTTTTGCTTGAAACCCGGCTATCCAAGTCTCAGCCGAGTTTAGTCCTGGTTCAGGGCCAGCTCCTTCTCATGCCATGTTCGAGGCTTGACGCTTTTTACGTCTGTCCAATGCCCCAAGAGTAAGTAGGGAACTCGTGGTGGCTCATGCCCTGGAGAAGAAGAAACAGACAGACAGACAGACATAAGCAAAAAATTGGAATCATGGAGACTGCCCACGGCCCATGCCCTGAGCTGAGCTCGTCATAAAGAGAGAGTGACTCGGGGCCCTTACAGCCCGTCATAAGAGATGGACAGAGAAGAGACACATTGAGGAAGTCAACGAAGGAGAACTACGTCCACGAGATACAGGGCCAGGCCAACAGAGATGGCTAGCTTGTCAGCATCGGTTGCCCACCAGTACTAGTCTGAGTCAGGTTTCGGACGAAAGCTATAATAGCAAGTATCGTAGCTTCCGAAAGTTGCCTCTTGGCTGCGAGGCAGAAGTCAGAAGTAGCGTTCCGTGGACAGATGCGCGACCAAGGTGTGATGCTGAGTATCATGGGCTTTACAACCTGGACCGTCAGATATGGCAGGAGACGCGCAGCTCTTCTTGCAAGATGCCAGGGTTTCCATCACGCGCGAGATGGAGTCTGGCAGGATGCGCAGATCGATGATCTTTTGGATCGCGTGAAGGAAGAGAAAAGTCCATGGCTGTTGTACACCTGCGGGCCGATGGGAGTCGGAAAGCTCCTGGCTCGCAGGTTTCGGTAGCCCAACGCCCACGGGCCCAGATTTTCTAGCATTTGATTTCCCGAGCCGGAAAGCCAAGTCTCGACTCAGGAGCTTCACGTTGCAATGGCTCAACAAAGAAGGCTATCTCAACATGCAGACGCTTGACCGCATTGCTGGATGTTCACCCGTAAGAAGGCTGTGCTATGCCAATGTGCCGGCATGTGGCTCTTGTGGCCAGGGAGAACATGGTAAAGATCGATCCAGACGAGATCAAAGGAAGGATGCCTGAATACCAAGAGTACGACAAGAAGATGGCAGCGACCCACTGTCATCGAGAGTCTGACGCTCAAAATCACCAACCCTTGCAGCCAATGTCCACCGTCTGCGGCAACTGAGGTCAGCCTATATGATGGAGATTGCACAAGCTGCTGCGATGCAGAAGAACTTCAACGTTTGGGTTGATGGCTTCTTGGCCAAGTGCAGGCAACACCCTGTGCTTCAGGACATGTCATGTTCACTGCACCAAAGGATCGCTCAAGGATGCCGAATGGTATGCGCAGCAGTTCGAGAGGATCCGTACGCAGCCCAGCCTTGCCGCCAAAGAATCGTCACCCTTGGTCGATTTCCTCATGTCGTCTCCAAGCATGCTGTCTTGCTGTGAGTACAAAGGCAGCCTCTAGGATGTCAAAGTTCCCTACAAGGCTGTACTCGTAGATGTCAGAGATGTTCTGGCCCGGGCCATTTCGAAGTTGAAGCTCCATGCGTCAGCCGGAGCAGCAAGGCTTCTTGAAGCGCAACTGCCGGGGCTGAGGTTCGAAGTACCACAACTACCACATTGCCATATTCTACATCGACCCTTGCTTGTGATCAATCTCAGAAGTTAGTGCCAGAGACTTGCGTGTCACTCGTTCGCTTCGTGGTGTTCGACGTCGCAGGGGTCAGAGTGCCGTCCCGAAAACGGTGCAGCGGCGAAGTATGGAAGACCAACATGCATGATTAACAAGTTACTTTCGAGCCCTTGATCCCCAAAGCCGAAGCCGACAGGGAGCGGACGAGCAGACCATTCTGCACCGCGTGAAGGAACGAGCGGATGGACCAGATGGAAGGCAACAACTGAGCTGTGCGTCACCAGAACCGAATTGTCTTGATCTCACGCTCAAGGTTTGAAGACCGTGCAATCCTTCGCTGATGTTTGTGATACTGTCACGTCGCCCTGTTGCATGGCTCTTCCTTACACCGTTACTCTCCACTTGTCGTCCCCTGCATCCGTCTCATGTCCAACAGTCTGGCCGAAACACTGCAGATGTCTGTGGCACGGCTTCCCGGGTCGAGGCACGTGCCGCCTGAGCTTGTTCGGGCCTCGATGGCATCGATGGCGACTTTGCTTTGAATTTCAAGAGTCAAAACTTTGAGTGATGTTATGAAAACGTGAATGCACTTCCGTGCCTTGCACGGCTCCGGGCTTAACCTCAGGACAAGACGCTCAATGTCCTGACTCCATATTGTGACTTTGTAGCCTGCTGCTCAGCGAGCGACAGAGATCTTCTCCTGAGACCTTCGTTTCGTCCTCCCAGGCACGGATAAAGAACAACGGCCCCTCCCCGGTGGCACGGACGTTACTTAAGCAAGGTTTTCTTGTGTCAGCATCGAGAAGCCTGAAGTGCCTGCACCTTTTCACTTGGCCCGAAGGTACTGCAAGCCGTCGATTCCATCGATCACAGCGGCATTTGGGAAGGTTGGAGACAAACCGGAAACGAGATCCACAGCGACGAGCAAAGCAGAGTGTCCCACTCTTGCACAGGCCTGCGGGCGCGCATGGACACGACGCAGTCGATGCGCAGCTCTGTGGACTTCCCGCAGTCTTTGCGGCCACTCAGCCTGACCGGCGTCTCGTCCGAGAGCTTGGAGCAACTTGGCAGACCTGGCTCGGACATGCTTCTACTATGCTTCTTCAGAGAGCTTCTTCATGTTTTTCACTCCTCCGCTTTCGCCTGCGTATACAATGTGGCATCGACATGACCTTTTCAGCTTTCGCCTCGCATTGAAGTCTTTTCCTGATGGGCATGCACTTGGCAGGTTTTTCCGATTCGATGCCGACAAGCGCAACATGTTGTTCGACTGGAAAAGGCCTTCAGCAGCAAGAGTTTGCTTCTCCGGCGCATGGCCTTCCTGATTGCAGCCCTGAGTAAGCTGTGACTGCATCGTGGCTTGCTGTCTGCATGGTCGGGAGCCATCAAAAGCAAACGAAATCGATGGACATGCCAACCACGGACAGCAGATATCTCTATCTGCAGGTCGACGGTGAAGATGGATCGACGCTTGTCTAACGTTCTGAGTCCAGGCTTTTAGGAGATCGTGTGCAATCCGGGCTAGTTAGGGCCGCTAGGCTTGGCATTGGCTTCAAGCTTTGAAAGTCCGAAAAGCTGTGCTTCAAAGTGTTCTTTCCCTTGCTCTTAGCCTCCGAACTTCGCTGCTCGCCGCTGCGCAAAGTGCGGCTGCCGGCCACGAACAAGGCGACGGGCCAGACGAGAAGGGTAGGATTTGCAAGTGCATACACGAGTTATACACCAAAGCAGCAGTACTCAGCTGTGCGTTTTGCAGCTTTGTGATCATCCGAGAGGCTGTGTAGCAGGCCAGGGGATTCGCTGCTTTGCCGCGAAAAAGGCGACCGAGAGCTTTGCAGTTCTCGGAGGGCACAGCAATCTTGAGACAACGAAGCCACCAAGAACGCCGTCCGCTCACATGGTAGCGGAGCTAGGGCTCTAGTAAAGCTTTGTGATCCAGCAGAGTGGCCGTTCGAAAGCCGAATTGCCAACCTGGGCTCTATAGCCGTATTCCGCCAGCACCAGCGCCCACCAGCCCAGCGCCAGCGCACGGAACTAGTCTATCATCGACATGCAATGGAAGTGCGAGCGCATTCCGGGCCTACGAGGAGCAAGTTCTACCGCTACCTTTGCAGCTGGCCGGAAAGGTGAGCGGAGCCGCTCAACGAACCATCGTGGGCAAAAATTTCAGGAACAGCCGACGACGAGTGGGCGAGGGAATCAACGATTACATCACGCAGAAGACAGAGACATACTGGAGGGTGCCAAGCTCTCAAGAGAGTGATGCCCAAGCCCCGGAAGCCGACCGAGGACGGGAATCAGTGGTCCAGGCGGCCATCATACAGACTGTTCACGCTGGGCATCTACCAGTAACAACGCCGACGACGAGGAGAACACCGAGAACCACGATGGGACAACGTGTCATCGTGGGGATGGCTTGTCAGTGGTATGTGTTGGCAGATGCGAGTCTCACGAGCGACGATTCGCTGGCTCTTGCGTTGTCCCACGAGCTGCGGACTCAACATCGAGATCCAGACCATCGCCGCCAGGATCAAGGAGGCCATGCATGTCTGGGCGATGAGACTGCGGGAGGCGAGGACCAGAGCGAGAAAGATGAGACGGAGACGGGCCGAATACGAGCTGGACCTCAATGAGGACGGGTCCGCATTGTGGGTGGAGAGCCAGCAGGAGAACGAGTCGGCGTGTACTGTGTTGCAGGAAGCATGTCGAACGCTCAAGGCCGCCCGTGCGAAGCAGAACCAAGTCAACAAGGCGCAGGAGTACTCTCAGCCCAGGAGCAAGGATGCAAGGATGGGTCTCCGCGACCTCGCGATGACTCCGGCATGACGTGCCAGAAAGGCGGAAAGATAGGCCACAGAGCACGCAATTTCCCCGGCAAAGGAGCTGATGCTGGAGGAGCAGCCCCCACAAGCATGTGGGCCCGTTTGTGTGCTAGGCCAACGAGGAAGCCTTCACAGCGGGACCTACGACGCAACAGGCCATCCAGGATGGCTACTGCGTCTTTGATGGCGGCGCAACGCGAACGCTTGGATTCGTCAAGGCTCTCGAAATGGTCTTCAAGTGCAACTTGGAACGGTATGGAGACGACCGAGTGCACAAAGTGGGCTTGGAGGATAGGCCCACGTTCGGGTCTGGCAGTCTGGCAACTCGACTGAGGAGCAGTGCCTGTCGACGGTCCACTTGAGTGTGAATGCAGATGGCAAGAACGGCAAGATCGTGAGCAACGCCTTGGATGAGGGCGAGGGACCTGTGCTGTTCTCCATTTATGCTTTTCGGAAACTTGGTGCTCTGATTGATTTCCGTAGATCTAGCCATGTTCAGGGCGCTCGACCCATGCAAAGGGATTCCCTTGAAGCGGTCCCAGACGGGCCACCAGCTCCTGGATGTGACAGTGACAGCCGATCTTATTGTGAATGTCCGGGGAACGACGAAGCCAGTTCCTAGGGACGGGTTTTCACGGATGACGATCCTGGCGGCGCAAGGGAGCGCGACATGTACGGTGCAGGTCACAGTAGCATTCACGAGGCGAGGAGCCACCTCGCGAGTGGAGTAATGTGGAATCTCGGGACACGAGTCCACTGGCAATTCCAAGAAGACGGATTTGCGCCAGTGGACTGAGCTCAACAGGCACTATTGCAAGAAGGACCTCGTGAAGACCTTCTGCGAGGAACGCCTCCAGATTACGCTGGACGGGAGCGAGACGATCCCGGTGCTTGAAAAGAAGGCTTCACGACGTGCCGCCAGTGGCCAGTGCCCTCGACCCTGTCGGCTTCGGGAAGTGGTCCACCTTGACAACGGAGAGCTTCGCCGAGAGCAGCCAGCGTACGGCAAGGGACAGGAGACCTTGCTGGTGGACGGCATTTGTGCGACTACCTCCTCAGCCGCTTGGGGAATTGGCTCATGAACTGGCCGGACAAGGACTACGAGGAGACGACCAAGATGCTGCCGATGGCGACATCTGCCACGATGCGCAAGCCCGTCCCGAAGAGCAAGGCGAAGAGGCAAGAACGGTCAGGAATATGGGCCAACAAAACAAGCCAAGGACCCTGTGCCAGTGTCGACCGGGATGCTCCTGCCATGTCCAGAGGGCCAGCTGGAACGGCCAGCAACGAGCAGATGAAGATCTGATGATTGACACGATCATGGCCATGAAGGAGGGGATCCCTCGGAGGACGAAGAAGGAGAACACCGAGACCGTGACCACGGAGCCGAGCTTCGCCATGGAGCAGATGATGGGGCACAGAGTGAGCAAGACTTGTGCGCAGGACAAGACGGTGCCAGCTCACAGCTGGTGCGGCACAGGTCCTGGAGGACGAGTCTTGGAACACCGTGCCGAGATTGTTTTCCAGGCTCGGTCTAGCTCTGGAAATCACGTGTGACAAAGAAGACGTGCTAGCGAAGGGCGGTGCAAACTGCCGCAGGAAGCGAGCAGTCAGTTGTTTGTTGTGGAATAAGCATGACTTAGGGAGATGCTCACCGGGCTACATGTATGACAAGCCCAACACAGAGGTGCTCATGATCATGGGAGCAGAAAAGCGAGCGAACATCGAGCGTGAAAACATCACAGATGACAACAGATCTTGAAGCACATTGGGTTCGTTCAACAGCCCAACTCGTGAATGGATTGGCTAAGGCGGGAACCTCACGGGAATGCGAGCTTTACTACAGGATGCGAGGATTAGGGAGTAGTGGAGGATGCCGCAATCATGCCCGCAAGACGCCGAAAGCATCAAGGTTTGTCACCTTTGCGGAAGCAAAGTGCAAATCAAGTATGTCATGATGGGGACTCTGACGAAGTGTGGGGATCGGGTACCATGCAAGTGCATACACAAGTTACGCACTGGAGCAGCAACACTCGCTGATGCGAGAAAGGGGACCGTCAGCGCTTTACAGTTCTCGAAGGACACAGCAATCTTGAGACAACGAGGCCACCAAGAACGTTGTCCCGTTTGCAGGGTTTAGGTACAGAAGTGGTATAGACATGTTCATGCATGTAGCGTTGTTGTAAGGAGATCTGTACACAAGCGAAAATTTGACCGACTGTTGAGACGTGGGTTGACTGTGGAAGATTTGCAAACAGACATTTTTAATAAGAACGTGGAGTGCGAAGCATTTTGCTCTTCGGAACTACAAATGCAGTACCCCAATGAAGACAAAACAAAGAGTGTGACAAGAAGAAGCATACACCCTGTGATAAAATTGAATTGAAAACGAGCGAAATGTGCAATTTCGAAATTGTCAGGTGTTTTTTAAATGATTTCGTTTCATAAAAGTTTTTACACAGAGCTCCGTGCGTTGTTCGGTCCGCAGGGAGAAGACGATTCTGCCACGCGAAAGGCCTTGGGCATCGATGGTTATGCTCAGGCGAGCACGCTCACTTCCAAGTTGGCATGGGCAAACCTTGCAAGCAGAGGAATGTTGCTGGATCTACCCGCTCAAATTGGGCAGCGATGCCGGGGCAGAGTTGGTGGAAACCTTCGGCCATTTGAAGCAGGACGTAACATGTACATGTGTGGCCTTGTCGAATCAAGTCCGTTGTGAGGATCAAAATCCTGTGGCCTTTGTGCTTCAGAACGGAGGTCGTGGCTGCTTCGTCGCTTGCTACAAACCGCAAGATCGCCACATCGTTTGTTCACAGGCTTCTGCTACCTCAACGAGGAGTCGAAGATAGTTGCGCTCATTGCCCCTTTCCCCGCAAGATGTCCATCTTTGGGTGTCTGCTCGGCCACTCGTGACACCGGGGTCACGGATGGACTTCCTCGTTTCTGCGATGTCAGGCCATTGTCCCCGTCGGCCGGGCCAAAATGCAGTTCAAAAGGCGAGAGCTGAAGGGAAGAAGCCCAGCTGATAAGACTGGTGAGGCAATCCAGCCGTGGGCTTATTGAAGTCTGAGAGCCGGGTCTTGAAGCCACTGAGATCTCCTGAGGGCCGATGACATCGGCTACTGGCACGAGGTTACTCTGGAGTTCCTGAAGGCACCTGTGGCGCGCACTAAGCGACGTTCTGTAGGCATACACTCTTTGCTTCGAAGCATGCCAATATCCTGGATCCCGATGCACAAAACACCCTGCTCATCTACGACCCCACCTCTGTGTCTGTGTCCGTAGCTATGCATGCATGCAGTTACGTATGCCTGTTTAACTGTTTATGTACATTGCTACACCCGTACTGGACAGCGGCCGTCGACTGACAGGCATGCACCAAGCTGTTGTTTCGAGTTGCTTCAGTCCATGTTCACATGCAGACGTTTTCGTCGGCGCCCTTGCTTGACCTCACACTGCCCTGAGCTTTTGCTTGAAGCCGCGGGCCGCAGAAACGTGGAGCTGAAGAATTCGCGTACCTGGCCCCCTACGAAGTGTCCGCAAAGACCGGGGTTGAGGCTGGAAGAGTGATGCAGCCATGGTAAACGGAAGTGTCACTGTGAGGGACATGCGGTCAGGGAACCTTTCCGAGTGTGTTCTAAAGGTGGGTGGCGAGTATGGATCCTTTGCTTACAAGTTCAAGCAGAAAGACAAGCAGGCCAGGACTCAAGAGTCTTCCCAGGAACCTTCACCTTTCTGTCTGAGTCAGGCGTGCTTCCCCGAGCACCTAGTCCCGAACAGGAAGTGGTCGTCTTCGATTTCATTGGAGCCGGCACGCTTTGAGGCCACGGTTTGCTTTTTCTTACGAGGTCTTCCCAAAGAGGGAGATCTCAGCCTCGCCACTGTGGGGAGCTCCTGACCAAAGCCGTCGGGGGCTCTTTGTAGCTGTCGCATGCTGTCGCGCGGGCTCCGTCAAGATGACGGCATCTCGGCTCTCCGAAGTTAAAGGGAGTGGTGGCACTGATCGGAGACTGTCGGAGACTGCAAGATTGCTGGAACTTAAGTTTTTGGCTGCTTCTGGTTCAAAATCAAAGCATAAGAAGCTGACATGGGCCATGCGACGAAAGCTGTGGAAGGGTAAATGTCCTCCCGACGGACATGATGCCCATTGAATGCGGAGGCCGGCTGAGAGCGAGGTGCCAATGGGCAGGCAGAATGTCGGAGCCACTTCTCTTTGTCTCGCTTCTCTCCAAGCTCTAAAAACAGGATGGCTGGTGGCCGTGCGGCTCCGTCTCCGCGGCCGGAGCTGGAACTGGAAGGCCAGATCCAAGTTGGTTTGTTCTCTGGCAGGGAAGCTCCGTGTGTCGGATTTTGCAACCAGCTGTAGAGCAGCATCCACATACAACGGAAGCAGAGCTTTGGCACGGCCGCGTGCCTAAGTGACGTCTCGAGTGTTGCAAGAACCCAACGTGGGGCTTGACCTATGCCTTTCACAGCGTGGCTGCCACAGACTTGTCAGAAGCAACATCGGTGTCAGCACACTGCGTGGGATCTGATCTGGAGATATCTGGAGTGCGGCAGGTTCCCTCGGAATCGTGGGTCGCATGGGCCTCAGGGCCCCAGATGGATCTTTGCCGAACAGAGAGGACAGTTTGGTCGCTGACACTCCTCAGGCACGGGCCAACTAAAACGGACGGCCGTCCTGACTGCGAGAACTCCCAGAACGCCGCAGGCCATGGCCATGCCTTTGCAGCGCCTATCGGTTTCTTCTCTGCGTAAGCAGATATGCCGCATTGCCCTTTGTCAGGTGCAATCAGAGGAGCTGCGGAGACGACCCTCGCACACGCATGCCCAGTTCTTAGACACACGTTTGCAGTGATGCGATAGCCATCCTTCGCAAAGGGTGCGGTGGCTGAAGGGACTGGCAAGGCTCGTCCGAAGCATTGCGACTTCGACTTTCGACGCATTTACTGCCAGGCCTTTGTGGCAGTGGCCCAGAACGCCTTGGGCCCACCGCACCCCGCGCCATCGCACGTGCGCACAGAGCCAGGAGGCAGCAGGACACTCGGGCCCACAGGAGTGACGGCTTGGCCGCTTTGAAGCTTCGCCAGGTCGCCTCTCCTTGGAGCGGGCTGGACTGGCTGGAGGCGGAGGTCTTGGAGGCAGCGGTGCCGCTATGCCAGGAGTGCTCGACATCGAGCTGGAAGGCCCGTCGGCGACGTCAGCTTTTTCCTGGCATATACCATAGCAGCCATCGCATGACCAGTCGTAGTGTCAATCGGACGCACATAGTTTTCCTGGTTCAATGCCTTCATTGGCTTTTCTGTGGTCTCGTTGCAAGCAGCACCCCGGCAACTCTAAGAAGGAAACATGCCAGCTCTGAATATTGCCATGTGCAGGAAGTCAGTCCACGCCTCGGGACTCCAGGACTCAGAATCAGTTCAGTGCCGTGGCTTCAGCATCCCAAAATTGTCCAGCGGACCCAGCGGGATTGGGTGGTGCAGCACTGCGTGGCCCTGCTGCAGGCGGGAGAAGAAAGTGCATTGAACCTGCGACCTGCATGCTGCTGCGGCAGGCAGACCTGGTCGTCGGGCCAGCGAGTGCGTGCAGGAAAGCTCCTTCGACGACCTCCCGCGGCAAGGCCAGGTGTCGCCGCCTATGAAACGGGGGAGTCGATCAGCACAGTACTGTAAGTGCTCTATGTCCAGGCCTTGAACGGAGAAGCTCGCTACCAGGAACCGTGCCGTCAGCGGCCAGCGAGGAGCGAGGTTTAGGGGAGGTTCAGCAGCAGTCTTGGTGATCACGATCTTCATGGCAGGTGATCCGAAAGTCCTTGAACTCCACCCTACGGAAGTTCGAAGAGAGCGATCCAAGCTGCACTTCCGTCACCATGGCTCCAAGAAGGAACGGCGCAAGGCCTCCACCCTTAAAGCCTTAAAGCCTTGGCCCACAAGAGGCCTTGACGCCACCTAGTTTCTGGGCTGATGGCAGGCATGCAGAGGCTACCATGGCACCAGGCGATCGGCAGGAGGGGGCCTGCGGCGAAGACCCTGAGGAGTTGGGGAGGTGGCGGCCTGAGGCCAAAATAAGGGCCACTTCTGGGCATGTCCTTGCTCCAAGGCATCCCATGACGATGGACTGCAACGAACTTGAGGGCCAGAGTGCGCAAGATGCCGACGGCTCCGCTGCCATGCGAAAGGTTTCACAGAGCTCAAAGCCTGGTTTCGGAAGGCCAGACGCCGATGCACAGACCGATGCCGCTGCAGAAGCTCGGGCACAAAGGCTGAGCCCTGCTCGCGAGCAAGAGCTTGGTGAGGAACGGGATCTTCTGGATCTACTGCCCATGCCTGGAGTGACCGGAGGAGGCGAACTCCTGTTCCTTGTGTGCCCATGCGGCAAGGTCGTAACAGGCTTGAAAAGAACATGCCGAACTCGCAGCCTCTGTAGCACAGCCATGTCTTGCGGGAGGTGAAGGCAAACAGGGCGAACCCTGGAGCGAGGCAATGAGCTGGAAGAAGCAGCCAGGACCAGGCAGGCAGCCGAGTCGTGCTCAAGGGTTTTGTCGGTTCCCTGTGTCTCAGGAGCTGAAGACTCCATTGACACCTTTGATGGTGGGCTAAGACTTCACGATGCGGTTCTGCAGAGAGACGAGTTCCCAGCATCAGATGCGAAAGTCGGGGAGAAGCCAAGGCACCTCAGAGGAAAGCGCGCAGCACTGTTGCATGCTGTACTGCGCTTGCGGCTTGCATGCACACCAGGCTTGCGGGATCTGGTGAGTGGCACCAGCCCCCTGCATGGGACACGCCGACCGATAGCTCGGAGATTTCGGCGACGGGCGGCGCAGCCATGTCCGGCCTGTGCCAGGGACCGCCATCCCCGGAAAGGGCAGCGCCCACTGCAGAGATCGTAGAGGGCTCTGCGGCTCTGGAATCGGCCGAACGTGAACATGCCGACAATGCCGACAGCGAAGATACCTCGACCCGCGCAGTGCGGCCGGCTCCAGCAAGGCGACGAAGCTCGAAGACTTCTTCCAGGGGGCCCAAGACAGAGAAGATGGAGGCGAGCTTGCCATCCGTCTGTTCAGCCAGAACTTGTTGGCTGACAGGAACGAGGCAAAGAGGGCACGTCCAGTGGTGCAACGAACGCGGGTGTTGCCAGTTCAGGCCCTGGTGTGCCAGCAAACTGACGACAAATCCCACTGTGCCAGCTGAGCTTGGCTGCTAGGCAGGCGGCGCAGCAGCTCGAAACGACACAGCAAAGGAACAGCCTCTGCGACGGTGCCCGGCCGGCACCAAGAGGCTTGCATGGGTTGCCCTCCGTGGAGGATTTCAAGACTGCGAGCCTTCCAGAGGCAGAGGGACTTGAAGCTGACGAGTCACGGCGCCTTGGAAAAGGCAGTCGGAAGGAGCAGTACCTCCCTGGCCTAAAGGCCTCAGATCCAGCTTCTTGCATCCTTTCAGGAGTCGGACTCAGAGCCGGAGTCCGCTGTAACAGACAACGACCTTTCCGAATTCCTCCAGGAGACTAGAGAGACGCTTCTTTTCCGATGTGTTATAGTCTCATCATACTCTCACTTGTGCAGGAGTTGTTTTCGCAGTACAGCACCTCCCGCGATAAGAAGGGCCGGCCCTTGATGTCGAATGCCGGGCTGAGACGATTTCTGCAGGAGAGATGGAGACCCTACTGTGTACAGCAGATGGAAAGGTGTGTAATTACTGTGTGTGCACCCTGCCATACACTGACTTCCGCAGCTCGCATTCTACTCCGGCACGATGCAAGCTTACCCTTCACGGCAAGCTGATTTGGCGACATCCTCAACCTGTCACTTTCAAAAGGGCCAGCGAAGCCGAGCTGACAGTGCTATATGACCGAGCCCACTGTGCCTTGTGTTGAAAACTCGCGTGTGTAGTCCAAAAGACAGGCAGCCTGCCGCTGAGTCCCTGTGTGAAATTCACTTGACTTCACAGTCAACACAGCCTTATTGTATTGCAATCGCGACTCCGTTTCCTGCCGTCTGTTTTGCAATCGCGAGGACTTCACTTTCGGTCCGGGCAGCCGTCCCTCGCAGGCCGCGCAGGCGCACCTGGCTGCGCAGGCGCTTGGGGAAGTCGGTAAACGGTCGCATGATGCAGGTTCGGTCAAGGTGCTGATATTGCAGTGTGTCTCTCTTGCAATGACAACGCAAAGTGGCAAAGTAAAAGTCAGGGCCGACAATAAGGCTAAGGTAACAGACGACATAGTGCAGCACCAGAACCAGAGGCTGATGTCCGTTACGACGAAGAGATCGAGCGCCAGAGCAACATGCCCACCGTGCCCTTCGGCCTACTTACTCTCTCCTCTCTTTACGGTGGGAAAGCTGGAGCTGTCCCTGAGGTTCGATCTCACTAAGGGGGATGCCAACCGTGGCCTGTGCTTCAAGTCCTTCGACATCGTGGTGAACCAGGCCGTCTAAAAGCGCTTACCCGCGCTTTTTGGTGGGGACTTCTTCCCGCCTCTTTTTGCTGGTCAGGTCAACATGCCATGCTCCTCCAAGGAGATGACGAAGCGGTGGTCCGAGCCTTATAAGGTATCTTTGTAAGTACAATTCCATGGCTGCTGAGCTATATCTGCACACTATTGCACACTCTAACAGTAACACACTGCTTTTGAGTACGTGTCAATATTTGAATTCTCTGCACAAGTGATCTCTCAGCCCCGAAATGACTTACCTTAGTGGTTTCAGGGTGCATGGATCGTCTGAGGTTTATCACCTACTCCTACGGCATGGCCAACCCGACGCCTGCAGACGTGGCCGAGGCTTTGACCTCACTGCTTGGATGCATCGCAAAAGGCTGCATATTTTTATTAAGAGCTCCCGCGCTGAGGCCATGTACGCAGGCCTCCACTGAGCTCTGCGCCGGTAGCCGTCCTCGCTTTGACTATGTTTCGGAGTCTCAGAAACTAAGGCACCCTACTCGCGACCCGACAAGGGATGGTCCTGATTATGAAATGCTCACTTCAAACACTGCATGATGTCCGCAGCATGTATATGCTTAGGCCTTCTTCCCGAAGGGAAGAAACTGGACTTGACAAACAGTCTGGATCTTGATCCGTTGCAGGCTCAACAGGGTGCTTTGGCATAGGCCAAGAGCATTTACCTGGACCTGCCCCCTGTGCGGCCGACATGTTCTGCTTGGCCACATGTTGCGACGCACGTTCGATAAGAACTCAAATCCAGTCACACACGAAGCAACAAGCCTCAAAGCTTGTTGCTGTCTCTGCCACGTTGCGGACTACGACATTTTACATGTGGTTGGCAGATCGGCCGCCTTTGAAACAGATAGTGCGGACTTGTTGGAACCTGTGATGCTGTGATTCGGGAGACTCAGTGGCAAAACTCTGGGCCCCGCCTCCTTTGGAAGCTGAGGGCTTTTGAAAGGCACGAAAATCGTTGATTCACACTGACTGGCAAAAGGTTCTATCCGAATACAGAAGCTCACAGGTTCCATGTCAGGCACGCCAGGGGCCTGAGGCTTGGCCTTGTGCATGAGACACAGTCGGTGAGGGCGTTGACCCATGGATCGTGCGAACCGGGCTGCATGGGGTTTAGTCTTCCCAAGCTGGGCCTTGCCAGCGCTGCACTGAGCACTGCTGCACCATGGCTCAAGGGCGGAAGGGGGTCGGACCGTCCCAGAAGGGCCAGAGCCTTGGCTCGGTGTTGCGGGGTATCCCGAAACCACCAGGCCGGAACAGATGAAAAGGCATAGAATGCTGGCCAGCACGATGCCCTCACTGTCACTTCAAGGTTGGCATGATTCAGCGAGGCATCTACAATGCATGTCATCGCGACGCATCGGAATGTGTTAGCACCCAAGCCAAGCAGTTTGCTTCCATCCCGAAGCCCGAAATGAGAGCGTCGCCCAGCTCTAGTGATTTGAGGTCTTGACTTAGCTCGCCTTGCTCCATTGATATCCGAGGCCATGGAAGTCCTACTGTCTCTTGGGCTGTTCCTGCTGGTGGCAGCAGCTGCTGCCATCTTCTTGCTCAAGCCGTGCCCCGCTGTCTACTGTCAGACCCGTAGGTTACCGGCAGTTTCTCTCCCTGCAGCGGCTACACTTAGAGGTACTTCGACTGGAGGGCCAGTTGCGATAAGTCCCTCGAGTCTCAAGTCTCGAGGCCTTGCAGGGGTCCCTGGTGGTTCATGAGTAGAAAATGAGGATCATGAGGTAGGGCATGGACCATGGATGGGGATGTCAGAAGCTGCGTCATTCGCGGAGCACTGAGAACGGAGGACTTCCTTCCAATGCGTCCCTGGCGAGCTCATCCCACCAGCTTGGAAGGCCTCCTAAGCACGTGGAGTCGTACGTCGTCGCACGCTGCTTTTGTGAAAGGGTACTCGGACTCTTCGGTCTTCCGTGGCCCACCCAGGCGCCAGAGGTGACTTTGTCTGTCATCGTGCCCGCCTACAACGAGGTCGCATCGGATGTAAGCTTCCAAACACCGAGGTGTTGACGTGCGCGCTGAATCGCTAGAGAAAATCGAATTGCCACTTGGGCCGATCGTAGTTGGCAGCGACTCGCTTCCGAATTACAGGAGGCATGCGCACATCTTGGATTCTTGCCCGGATCTCTGGCGGCAGGAGTACCGGGTGCCGCAGATGCTGGACGAAACGCTGACCTATCTAGAGGGGCGCGGAGCATCGTCTTCCTTCTCTTATGAGGCCGCTACGTCAGCTTCAGCTTACACAGCACATGACGGCACAAATCTACAACCCGAACCCGAGCAGCTAACTCTATTCTGCGCATGGTAAGGGACTTGGAGTCAAGCATGTCACGGGCTGTCACTGGACGGCAGAGAGAATGGTTTGAGAGAAAGGCTTAGAAAAGGTGGGCGGGCAGGCTGCCCGGTCAAGTCTACTCTTCGTGCGCACTTCACTTGAATCACGCATTGACAGGCTCGGTCTGTGTTGCAGTTTCTGGTGCCTTGGATCTAGGTCCTCATGTTGGCTTCATCATTGCCTAATCATCGTCAACACTTCTGCTTGCCAAGCCTTCCAGATCATCGTGGTGGATGATGGCAGCAGTGACAACACTTACGCCGCAGCTCTGTCCGCAAGCACGCCGTTCCCCAAGACTTGTTCACGACAGTCGAGCGAAAGACTCAATTCTTCTCTTCTGGATTAGTTACTTTCTGAGTGTGCCGAATGCAGGGCAGCTTCACTTCGCCATGGTGAAGTGAAGATAATACAGCTCCTCGCCAACCGCCGACCTTCCATGTGCTTGACTTCCAACACGCTCGCAGCTTCACGAAGCCTTGCCTCGTAGAGATTTGCACCCAACACAAGCGAATTCTGCCAGGCGGCAAGGGCTTTGCAGTCCGTGCGGGGATGTTAGCCGCACGAGGCTTTCCGGTGCTTGCTGCATGTTTTGGAGTTACGGGATCTCACAAAGAACGAACACGATGAATTTGAAGCGACGGTTGCCGAGCTTTTCGAACCAATCTCGACACAGAGCCGAGCAGGTTGAGGCGAGGCTCAAAGCACAAACCCCGAACCTTTCTGCCGAGAGTTTGCAAGGCACAACCTCCATAGACTGGGGTCAGGATTAGAGGGACGCCTTAGCCATGGCAGACGGGTCGGGTCTGCATCGATTTGACAGCCCCCTGCATTGTAGACTTCTCAGGATTCTTTACGTGCTCGGCATTGGGTGTGGCTTGGGATGTTCTTGCTACTGCTCCCTGTGATTAGACTTTGGCTGTCGGCATTCATTCTCAGGGTTTTGATGATAGTTAAGCTGGGTTTCAGACGTCTCAGCACCAAGAACAAGTCATCCCAAAAGGACAGCTGCTGCTCATGGCGGATGCTGACGGAGCAACGTCCATCCGTGACCTTGAGCGCCTTGAACGAAGCCTCGGGGCAAAGGACTCCAAAGCTTGCAGTTCACGAGTGGTTCATGCTTGTGAGTCTGTTTGGCAATCCTTCAGTTTCAGCAGTATCGAAGAAGGACTGGTAAGTGCAAGGCAAGGACCATCGAAAACACAGCTGTTTACAGTCTGGGTAGAGCTCAGGTGATAAAATTACACTGGCGAAGACCCCAGATTCCTAGTCCTAAGGTAGTGGTACTGGTCGTGGTAATGGTAGCAGTAGAAGTTGTAGTTGTATTTGTTGTTGTTGTCGTTGTTGTTGCGGTTGTAGCAATTGTAGTATTTGCATGTGCCGTCGTCGTCGTCGTGCTGTTTGCTGTGGTGATGGTGCTGATAGCACCTGGTGGTAGTGGTCGTCGTCACGAGTCGTAGTTGTAGGAATCGTCGTCGTCCTTTTCCTCCTTTTCATCCTCGCGGTGGCGGCATCAATTTCGTAGTGGTCGTAGCTGTCAAAGAGTCAAAAGCAGCATCCGTAGAAATTGAAAGCAGTAACATCTTCATTTTCTTTATTGTCCGACGCAACAGCATCAAGAACAGTGCGATCAGCAACTGCACAGCCACCATCATCATCAGCACCATTAGCACCTTCACCACCTTCTTCATTATCCTCATCACTACCCCGTTGCCTTCTGCAGCATGGCCTCGGTCATATAAAAGGCTGCAGTGTTGCTAAATGGTGCCGGTCAGGATGACGCTCCTCATATGGCGTTTGGATCAAGGCATCATCTTCGACAAGAAGCGTTGAATAAGAGGCCCCAGATATCATGCACTGTCTGTGTCCGGCTTCCTTCCATCCTGTTTCGTACTCCCATGCCAGGGCCTGGTATCGCAACGTGCTGATGGTTGGCTTTCAGTTTGCGGTGTGGCTGCTGGCTGCGACCCCGGTGTGCTTCGGAGAGACACGGTGCCAGCTACATCACCCCTTGCTGAACAGGTAGGTGGTGTCATAAACGACACCCAATGCGGCTTCAAGCTCTTCAAAGCCAACGCGGGGCATAACAGAACTAACAGAACCATGCACTGAAGCATCGGAGGGTGGCAACGCAGCTCTGCACAGGCAGCGAAGCGAATCTTCGCTTCCTTGCATATATATCGCTGGGCTTTCGACATCGAGGCCACTGTTGGCCTTGTCTTTGTGCCGCCGCGCATCAGCACAATCGCCGTTGCTCCGTCGAAGCCGAGAGGTTTTGATTCTGTCCCAGATCTTTGGCCAGGGCGTGGCTGAGGCTCGGTGACTGGAGAACCGATTCAGAAACACGGGCCGCCGAATCATGCCCCTGCTGCTGCTATTGCTCCTGCTCCTGCTCCTGCTGCTGCCACTGCTGCTCCTCCGTCCAGTCCGCGCAGAGCCCTGCAGAGCCACAGTGGTATCCGGGATTTGCCAACCAACATCTAGGGCTCTGCCACTCGATGGAGCTAATTGATGCTTTGGGTTGTTTTTCAACAAGGTTGAGGACAGGGTGTTCAGGAAGCGGAACGCAACCAGTCCAGCAAATGAGGGTGTGGGCGCACAGCCCATATTTTTTCCGAATTTCCAGCCACAAGAACTAGAAGCAAAGGGGCCAAGCCTCCCAACCTCGCATCGTCCGGATTTCACACCTCATTGTGTCCCTGACAGCTAAAGCCGGCAGCTGCCTGGAGCAGGTCCCGGTGACTTGGGTGGAGATGCCCGGCTCAAAGTCGGGGTCCCAGTGCCATCGGACTGCCCAAGCGGAGTCCGCTTCTCCTTTCAATCTGCGCCCTGCTCTTCTCGGATTCCTTCGCTATCGAGATTCGGGCATCTGCACCGGTTCTGCAGGCTGAATCTGCTTACGGGCGCACTGACAATGTTGAGGGACATGATGCTGGTCAGAGTCGTTGGCCTCAGGAATTGAAGAGTGAAATGTGTTGAATGCCCAGCACTGCCAGCAGAGAGCTCGTTGGTCGTTTCTCTTGCCCTTCATTTTTCTTGTCTCTGGACGGAGAAGGAACATACAGTCGCTCTTGCACCTGCTCATTTGTATGACGACGACGACGACACTTTTCCTTGTTTTCGGTGGCGACTGCATGACTTGCTGTTGCTACCCTCAACTTCAGCAGCTCTTGGAGTTCTATTCTGCTACCTGCATGCACAGAGCTGGTTCACTGATGAGATCGAGTGTTGAGATGCCTAGGTGCTTTACGGCTTCGGCTTTTGGCAGCCTTCAGTTGCCTGAGCATATTGGAGGCCAAGGAAATACCCTTGGCCACTCCTTGCAGTTTGTCGTAGATGCTGCGGGATTCTGAACCCTTGACACCCAACCGTAACTAAGCATCGTACTCCCTGAACTCCCGGAACACCCTGGGTCATCCGCAGAGATCTGAATGCTCTCTGCTGCTAATGCAGAGCCCGGTGCTGAAAGCACTGGGTGCCGCCGTGGCCTCCGTGGCCTCCGTGGCCGTCGAAGTCGGCGCAGCCATCTAGATTGTGGGAAAATGCGCCAGAGTTGCACACACTAGCAATCGCGAGCATGTGACAAGTTTCGGCGGTTCCGGCATGCCGGACATACCATAAACGAGAGGCCTTCTTTTCAACTTGTTCTCGCCGCCATCACGGATTTGATGCAGGGGCCTGGCTGCGTCATGCATAATGTCTCCGGCCACGTCTGCAGCTTGTGAGCATGCGGGCATGAGCGGGACCGAGCATGCGCGGATTATAAGCATAGCCAACACTTCCAAGCTAGATGTCAGTTGCACTAAACTTAAAACCACGCACGGACTTCGCTAGCCATGGGCACCGGTGCTTCAGCTGCGGCAGCTCTCCCTCTTCCAGATGCTCCTGCCATGTCACAAGACGAGTACGTCAAGGAACACCACAAGTTCTGGGAAGCCTACAAGGACGCACAATGGAAGGAAGCCTACAAGTACATGGCTTCGCAAACCACCGCTGGCGCCTTCACTGCTCTCGGCGAACGCAACTATGAGAATTGCGTACGATTCGCTGTGGGAGCAATTGGCCACACGCAAGAGAGCCCCAAAGACATAGAAGAAGCTGCGGCAGTGCTTTGCCGGAGCGTCGAAGTGGCCAAGTGGCCAGCCACAAAGGCCGCAAGCTTCCTGATGGATCACCCGAAGAGGACAGAAGTCGCTTGGATGCATGTCGGAAGCCTTGCAGCCACCACAAGTCCCAGCCCAGGTCCTGGAAGTATTTTTGAAGTCAGTGTCCCCAGAGTTCGCCGAAAAAGCTCCAGAGGCCAGCAAAGGGGCAAGAAGCACCCCTCCGGCTTGAAACCGTTTGACTCACTTGGAGACGGACATTCCTTGCCCTGCGGGTCGCCTGGGAGGCTCAAGCGGAGCAGCTCCTGGCAGCCATTGACGGCGAAGCCAAGGCCTTTGGTGCCGTGGTCTTGTCCGTGGCCCGGGCCTGCCTTGCAGAGGGTGCGCCCGTGGGCTGCATCACAAAGGGTGCGCACGGGCTGGGTTAAGCTTCTGATAGACTTTTTGCCCACTTCTGAGAGGTGCGGAAGAGAAGGCTTTGACGCTGCTGGAGAAGTATTTGCGGCTGCACAAGGCGCCAGATGTCTATGATGCCGGAGATTTGTTGGCTCTTTGGTATGCATTGAAATGGCGGAGGTCGGGGAAGAAGCCACGGCACGTGGGCAAGGTAGCTGTGGTCCTGTTGAAGAGGTCCCACATGAAAGTAGTTGTGGATGATGATGGAACGGAGCTGGATGGCGGTGTCGCCAGCTGGGACGAGAACACTCTCAAGACTCTGACTGTGCCGGACATCATCCGGGACTGGCGGCTTTTTAGTGATGCTATGTGCTTTTTGACCGACGGTGCGGTTGGCTTCGAGCCCATTGTGGTGGAAGACTGCTGGGATGTGCTGACCAAGGCCCACAACCCATTCTGGGATTCCAAGTATAAGCGCTGCATTTCCCACACGGACTTCGGAGCACCGGACTTCGTGTCGGCCCTAGAGACATGGGAAGAAGGCTACATCAAGGACTCTCTTTCTGGTTTCTGATTGCTCAAAGATGGGTTTGGTCCCCACCGACTTTCAGAGTCCTAAACACCCTGGCCTTCCCTTCGCATCACCTACCACGGTTGCCTTCCTGTGGGATCTCGGAATGTCGGACGCTGCTCTCCGGGATAGAGCTATCGTGGACACGTCTGCAGGTCTCCCCATGCGGCCGTGAGTCTTCTGGAATAATTTGTACGAGTGCTGCACTTGCATTCGAAGAATTTCGACCGACCGAGCCCCCAACAGAGACGTTTCTCACCGTTACATACGTGACCTTAGAATAGGAACCGAAAAATGCGCCAAGGAGGTTGCATACATGGGCTATTTTGCTCAGATTTGTGGGGCAGGAGAGCAGAGAGGGAGGAGACTCAGACATTCTGGCCTTCCATATCTTGTTTCCTGCCGGCCGGCCCCCAGAGGCCAGGAGAGCAGAAGAATTGGATCAGAAATGTTTAGGGTTTAGGGTATAGCGTTTAGGTTTTAGGGCTTAGGGTGTAGGGTTTAGGGTTTAAGTATCTTCTTTAGACGCTCAGTGAGTCTGAGGCCAAGGTGAACATCACCGTCGGGGGCATCGCTGCAGGCACCATCGGGCACCGAGCTTTCAAGGGGAGGCCGGCCTACCAGGAGCGACGTAATAACGAGAATGGGGCGATCATAAACCCAACAATGATAGTAAGACATAATCGTAGCAGTAAGGGAAGAGTAAGAGCAGGTGCATGAGCAAGAGCTAGAGCTAGAGTAGGAATAAGCCTGGTAGTAGGAGTCATAGATTTTCAGCAGTTAGAGAAGTAGAGGAAAGGCGAGCAGTAGCGAGAGTAGTAGTAAGTAGTAGTGGAAAGAGTCACGCAGTTACTCAAACAATAATCCCCTAGGCAATGCCAGGATGCTTACTGCTTACTGACTTAGCGTGAAGTACCCGTAAAGACCAGCAAGCATAACCCCGGGCAAAGCATTTTGCTGCAGTGCATTGTAACAGTCCACGCACGGTATGTGCGGAGCGCAAGAGCTAACAAACTGCCCAGCTTGCCGGCACACGGGGGCGCGGTGCTATATGCAGTCGTCAGGCCGGATCCGGATGGCTCCTAGCAGGTAGCTAACTGCGGCGCGGGGATCGCACTCTGCTTAGTCCGCGCAAGCTGGGAGACGGAACCACAACGACTGTGCAAGTCACAGGTGCTACCCCCGGACAAAACGTGATTCTGCCCTACTACCACTACGGTAGGCTTGCCCTTGCCCTCTTACTCCGTCGCCCGCCGACATAGCAGCTCGTGGCTAAGGCTACGGGGTTACGGATCTGCCGACGAAGAGGCTGGAGCTTTGCTGCAAAGGCGCTTCGTCGGTGGCGGGTTGCGGTCGAACGGTACCATCCGCGGCAACATTGGCGTCTGACTCACCGGTAATGATGCCCATCCATCACAAATTCGCGGTTTGCCCTTGACGCCTTGGTCAAGCTGTGCGATCCGTGTATCATCGCCATCGGACGGTGCCTGCACCGGACCAGGGCTGTCTTAGCAGCGCAGTGTTCCCTGAAAGCCCCTATAACCAGCTCCATATAAACCTCCAAGAGCCTGCGATCTTTCGCTGTGCGAGGCTCGACGCTTGCATCGGGGAGAGATTGCAGCACAACCCCGGACTCCCTGCCCGATTGTGCTTTCCCGAGATCAATCAAAAGGCTGCAGAAAGCAGCGCGCTTATGAGCAGCGATAACACACCACGAAATCTCCCCATCGTCGTAGGTAAACACGGTGAGGAGCACCTCAGCGCACGCAGGATCGTTCATCGCGGCAGCTGCAGGCGAAAGGAAGGAGGAGGTCCGCGCACTTAACGCAGCACGTGCTGGGCACGGATCTGGGCCGAAAGGCCCTGTTCGTGCTGCGTGCTCACCTCTAGACTCTAGACAGCGACGAAGCTCTTCGCACTCTCTGCGGAGCAGAAACGGAGCAGAGACCCGCCGAGCGCATCGATCGGCCGCTTTGGCTTCCGACAGGACTTTCCACCTCACGGGTCGCCTCGCGACTTTGCGGGCTTTGCGCCCTCCCCGCCTTGTCGGTGCGCGTCTCGCGCTTTTCCACACGACCAAGTAGGCTTTGTTGGCCGAAGTGTCGCGCGAAAAACCTCGGCCTGCAAAGCTTTGACGGAGTAACGCACGCGCAGACGTATTCAGGTCACGGATCCTGAGCGGCTTTATCAACGATAACCTGGCACTCTCTCCTCACTCCTGCTAGGCCTTACCCGTTGCCTCGGCTGCTCCGGCGCCAGAGGCGACGGAGCCACTGGCTGATCCCGCGGCTAGGAGGACCAGCTCCAGCTCTTGGTCCCTGCGACGGAGGCGCAAACGCTCTAAGGGGCAAGAGAAGAGACGGAGATCGAAAAGATGGCACCACAAACACCGGCGAACCAAGTCGGAGAGTCCTCCAAAGCGGCCTCGGTCCCGAAACAAGAACCGACGGACGAGGAGTGATCCGACGTCGGGGGCCCCCCGCAAACGGTACCCCAGTGCTGCCTGACCGGAGTAGGTCCCTCCGAGGCGCTCAGGGCGCAAGGGTAAGGGCAAAGGAAAGAGCAAAATGTTCTATGCATTGACGACGCTCATTGGGAGACGGAAAGTCAAAGTGGCCTACACTACTGTAAGCCAGTTTCACTTTTCGTCTCTCAAGATAAAGCGTCAGAATTTGATGCAGCCATGGCGATCCTGGAGATTCCCGTTGAACTCTCTCGCAGAACGTACCAATCTGGTGATTATCACTGCGGCTACGGCTTTACTACTTACTACATGCAAGATTACCAGCGAAATACTGGCCCTATCCCAAGGGCACCAGCAAAGTTGAAACAGCTCTAAATGCGCATTCCAAGCCTTGAAAATGCATGTTGGGACGCTGGAAACCAAAATATAGCACTTGCAGTACGATTTCGGGTTTAGAGACGGCATTGAGCTCCAGATTCGAAGACCAAATGCGTTTAGCAGGCTTTGGAAAATGCATTTCGGCTTGGTCGCGGGGAGGCCTCAATCAAAGCCGGGGAGCGGGGCCAAGTGCACCAGCACCAAATGCGTTTTCGGCCCTGGATGGCATAGTTGAGCGCTCGGCGCCGCCGACCACGCCCAAATGCATTTTCCAAAGCCTGCTAAACGCATTGGCTTTGAAACGAACAAATCTGGAGCTCATGCCGTTCCCAAGCCCGAAAATCGTACTGAACATGCTATAGTTTGGTTTCCAGGGCCGCAACATGCAATTGCTTTGCTGGTGTTCCTGGCCCATCCTCCGAACCAAATGAGTTTTACAAGACCTGCTAAACGCAGCGGTTTCAACAGATCTGGGCATTGAGCTCCAGATTTGTTGAGAAGAAGGCCAACTGTGTTCAGCAGGCCTTGTGGAGCTTGCGCGCCATCTGAGGTTCGAGACTCGTTGTCACTTGCGCGCGATGTGCAAGGCTCAGGAAAAGCACAAGGCAATGAGAAGAGACAGACCTGCCCTAGTTCACCGCTCCTCACCCGGACTGGCCCCGAAGCTCCCTCGGCGGAACCCGCAACCTGAACCTGGCCCCAGGCCCCAGGCCCGAATCTGCTCGAAACTTTATGTCGGCTGAAGACCCCATAGCTCACGCTTTAAAAGAAAAGCCCCACAGTGATATACAGTGACGTGGGGAAGATTGGTGAAGAACGAGTAGAGACACGAGATAGTGTGTTATGCGTGGTGAGGACGAGGGCCTTTTGTGGACCCGCCATCATCGGCTCTTTTGGCTTTTCCACGAGACACATCACCTTTATGAGGGCCACTTTCAAGACCGTTTCGATTTCGCAAAGCTTATCAAGAAGACTGACCATCCCATGTTTCAGCTGGAGAACTGGATGGAAGAGTTTAGAGGCGGCAATGATTTTTTTCCAGGTGGGCACTGGCTCGGTGACACTGAGTTCGACTGGTATGTGCAGACCATCACTCGACGTTTAGCTCCCATGACCGACCCCACCTTGGGAGAACACTGGAGATCCTGGTGGGGTGGACGTGAAGCCGGAGAAGAAGGTGCATACCATGATTTCGTCACTGAACACCAGGCCATGTGGAATGCCAGTGTTCAAGAGGACTGGGAAACCGTCTGTGAGCTTTCACAGTCCCAGCTCAGGCCAATGTCCTTAAAGCGACTTGGGGAGCATAACTACCGCAATGTTGTGACGATGTCAGTGCGTGGGCTGACATCTACTGGCAAGTCCCTGGACGGCCCGGTGCTCGATGTGCTGCGCAAAGGCATGGAAACTTTGGATTACCCAGAGGAGCGCGCCGCAGAGCTAATCCATGGCATCCCGCCTGAAAAGGCTGAAGAGCTGAAGTGGCTTTTTGCAGGTCTTGACAAGGCGAAAAAGAAGACGCAACCAAAGCTCCAAAGAAAGAAGTCTAAAGCAATCAGCATCGTTGACGACCATCATCAGATGTGGGAGGCCTACCGAGCGCAGGATTGGGAAGAGGTCTTGGAGCACATAGAAACTCAAGTTACCGCCGAAGCGCGGGAACGCCTGGGGGATGCAAACTTCCACAACTGTTTCGTTATGTCATTCGCTGCCCTTGGAAACGGGAAAGCTAGCCCGAAAGACGTCGACGACGCTGTGGCGTTGCTCCGCCGAGGGATGGACTTAACTCAGTGGCCACTGAGCCTCTTCGAGCAGTTGTTGTCTGGCCATCCCAAAAAGTATCAAGTGCTCAGGGACTTTGTGCCAGATGATGATGTGGAAGGCCTCTACCATGATTTCGTCACTGAACACCAGGCCATGTGGAATGCCAGTGTTCAAGAGGACTGGGAAACCGTCTGTGAGCTTTCACAGTCCCAGCTCAGGCCAATGTCCTTGAAGCGACTTGGGGAGCATAACTACCGCAATGTTGTGACGATGTCAGTGCGTGGGCTGACATCTACTGGCAAGTCCCTGGACGGCCCGGTGCTCGATGTGCTGCGCAAAGGCATGGAAACTTTGGATTACCCAGAGGAGCGCGCCGCAGAGCTAATCCATGGCATCCCGCCTGAAAAGGCTGAGGAACTAACGAAACTTTGGAGCAAAAAGGCATGATTGCCGTTTGAAGAACTCTTTAAAAGAGATTCTTCCAGGCCAACCGATTTCCTCGGCAAGCAGAAAAGACGCGATGTTCGCTTTTGTATTTCTGACTTTAGACAGGCTGCAGGCCATGTCAAGTAGAACTGGTCATTTCCTGAACAATCGACATCTATGTATATTATACATTTATTTGATTTCCTTGTGTATATATACATATGGCCTAGTATTAGATTGGGTTTACAAGGTTCACAGATGTTTTTTTGATGGGATCACAGCTTTCAAACACTTGGCAGAATAAAAAGAATAATGTCGTGAGGAACGTGTTTTTGGAGTAGGGCCTAGGGCTGTTGTTAATGGGTTTCCCCAGTTTTAAACGTGTGTTTTCAATTTCCAAGGCAGCTTCATTCGTTGAATGCGCAGAAATTGCCTGCAACCGGTCCTGTGATGCAGCCAATTGGATCAATGTTAGAGCTTGAACTCATGCGTCCTAGCCGAAAGCGTACATCTGTCCATGCATACCGGTGACTGCGTATTTTTTTGGAAACAAGACATGTTACGGGTTACGGTTTTTGTTTTGGCTTATTCTGTGGTTGGGATCTTTGGACGGCGCAGCCATGAATGAGAACATACATCTTGATCTCTACTGTGCTTGACATTCATGGCGTCCCCTATTCGCCTGTTGGACTGGTGCGATGCCAGCTTTCTGGTTGATGAGCCAACCACAAGCAATGAGGAGGGGCAGTGTCTCAATGGTCTGAGTGTTTGAAGCAAGCATGTGCCGGCCTTGTTGAGAAGAACAAACCAAAGCGAGGACATGAGTGCCTGGCAGTTAGTTGCAAATGCTGGCAGGGTCCTAAGCAGAAGCAGTTCGAACTTAGTTCAATGAGAGGGCGAGAACTAAGTTTCCTTGCGCTTGTGTCAAGGTCAACGTTTCTGTGACGGTGTGCAGTCGGTGATGGACTTCCTGACTGACAGTTGCAGCATTTGCCAGGAATTCACTCCTAAGAGGACTTCTCTGTGTGATCCTGCGTGATTGCAGTCGCACAGGCTTCTGGCCACTGCGCGGACCAAGCTGAGGAAGTTATTGTGAAGATGGACGAGGCTTG